AAAAAAAAAACAAAAACATACTTGCTTGGTGTGCAAGAGGCCTTGGGTTCAATCCCTACTACGACAAAAAAAAAAAAAAAAAAATCAAAATTGAGACAAGCTGGAAGTGTAAAATGCACACCAGCACACCAGATTTCAAGGACTTAAAATGTAAAATATCTCTTTAGCTTTGATATTGGTTATATTTTAACTATTTTGGATGTAGACTATTGTGTCTCTTCACTGTAGCACACCCTATTCTGTAGGGTGTACTTTTTTCTCCTTTTTCCTAGTTTTATTTGGCCCAAACTCACTCTGCAAAGCCTGCTTTTCTTACCTTTAATAAATATGAAACTTTGCCACTGTTAAAAAAATTAAATATTTTGCATATATTTGGTTATATCAAAAATATATTAAATTTTGCCTTTTCTTTTAAATGTGTCTCTAAAAATATAAAATTACATATGCAGATCTCATTATATTGGACAGTGCTACTCTATCTTCACTATGCTCAATCATATTTTCCATTCCTTCCTTCAGCAGGGAATCTTCTTTGGCTCGGGAAGGAGAATCTGTACCTAACTCTGAATACCAAGGGAGGTGTGGCTGCCTGTGTCACTATGAGTCATGGATTCAGAGGTTCTCATTAGGGTCTGATTCACCTTTTGATACCTTCATTTTCCATTACACTAGAAATACTTTGAACACAAAGTTCACTAAAGGTGGCTTTAGTAATTATGTTTACTAATTACCACCAAAGTAATGAAAATTATATTGTTAAATATTGGTGGATTATTAACTTTGTTTCAGATTTTGTTTCAGATTTTATTAAATCATAATATTGTGTATTTTCTATATACCTTTATCTATTTTTTTGTGGTGCTGAGAATCAAACCTAGGACCTCATGCTTGCTAGGTAAGTGCTCTACCACTGAACTATACCAGGGGAAGTATATAGTTACCCAAAGGAAGCCAGCTTTTCCTAGCACTAAATTCTAAAAGCAATTTCTGTCACAAGTAACAATTTAAATAGCAAGTTCAATGACATTTATATAACTGCTTTGGGTTATATAATGCAATTCATTTTTACATAGAAATGAGCGAGTGTGGTAAATAATTGTATGTTTTATTTTTACAGGAATCTCAGGAAACCAAAATGAGGCACAATCAGATGTGTTGTGAGACACCACCTACTGTCACTGTTCATGTAAAATCAGGGTCAAATAGGTCACATCAGCCTAAAATTAATCTTAAGCGTACTATTTTTAAAGATAGTTGGCAAGCATCTGACAAAAATGCCCATAATAACAACAAATCTAAACGCCCTAAAGGGCCTTGTCTAGTTATACAGCGTCAGGAAATGACTGCTTTCTTCAAATTATTTGGTAGGTTTAAAATATTTTAATAATAAAGTTCTTAAAAATTAGAATGTAAATTTATATTTTATCACTTTCATAGTGCTCTAAGATAGTATTAATAGCATAATTATGAAGTACTTAAATTAGAATGTAAACACCTATTTTATCAATTTCATAATGATCAAAAAGGACAGTGTTATTTTCTTTGTCAAATATTTCATCTCCAATCAAATTTGATTTTGTTTTTACTTTAGTTTTCTTTTAATGTTGGATTTTGGTTTGCTTGCTTGTGAATTAAAAATTCACACTCATGTAGCTTCTAAACTACTTAAGTCCAAGTATTATAGATGCCAAAAACTCAGATTCACAGCATGGGGGAGAGGTTGTTTTTTTTTTTTTTTTTT